TATATATATATATATATATATATATATATATATATATATATATATATATATATATATATATATATATATAACGAATATAATTGGTTCTAGAACCTCGTTCGTTATAGGATCAATCCGTCCCAGGCCCCCAAATACAACCACTTAACACTGAAAAAAAATGTTGGAAAATGTAAAAAATACGGTACTTTATCTTACCTTAGTGTTGTTCAACATGCAGGACAGGAGGCAGAGGAGGAGGGGGAAGGAGAGAATTATGGAGAAGAGGTGGAAGGAGAGGAGTCATCCTTCCTAGCCCTCTTTGGTGACTGTCTTACAGGCACTTTGTGTGTAGGGTCTTTTGTTACTTTTTTAAAGAAGGAATCCAGGGTTGGCTGCTTCAACCTTGATTTCTGGACCTTCCAAAAGTAGTTCATCACAGTGTCATTAAAAATACTGATGCCCTTTTCCACAGCACCAACATCAGGATGATAATCCTTCACAAGCTTAGACAGTTTGCTCCAGCACCAGAACACATCCTTGAGATCTTTGGCTGGAATGATGCGGCTTTCCTCCTTGTCCTCATCCTCCCCTGACTCCTCAGAAGTTAAGCTCCGCTTCAGTGTCTCGTTTTCCTCTTTGTGAAGCTCAAGCAGCTCCTCAGTGGACAGCTCATTACTGTGCTCATCCACCAACTCCTCAACACCATCATCATCCACTTCCAGGCCCATGGAATTGCCCAGACACACAATTTCATGTACAACAGCCTCTTCCTCTAACTCTTCAAAGCCTTCAAAGTCTCTTTGAAGCACACATTCAGGCCAAAATGGCCTCCAAGCAGCACAAAGACACCTCATAGAAACCTCTTTCCAGGCTGACACAATTAAAAACACAGCGTCTGCTATATTGAAGTGGCTCTTCCAAAATTCCTTCAAACTAACATCACTGGAAGAAGTGGACGCAAAACGTTTTCTAAACAGTGCCTTTGTGTACAGCTTCTTAAAGTTTGAAATTACCTGTTGATCCATGGGCTGGATGAGAGGTGTTGTGTTGGGTGGCAAGAAGTGCACAGTGATGATGTTGAACTCCTCTGGCAATTCAACCATCAAATTAGGAAGGTGGGCTGGTGCATTGTCCATCACCAATAGAGCTTTCAATGGAAGATTATTCTCCCAGAGGTATTCCCAAACACTGGGTTCAAACACCTCAGTCACCCACTCAGAGAAAAGACTCCTGGTCACCCAAGCCTTTGGGTTTGACCGCCACATAACACCAAGGCGGTTCTTCCTAATGTTTTTGAAAGCTCTGGGGTTTTCTGCATGGTACACAAGGAGTGGTTTTATCTTGCAGTCATCAGAAGCATTCGCACAAACAAGGAGGGTAAGCCTGTCTTTCATCGGCTTATGGCCAGGGACAGAAGTTTCCTCCCTTGTAATGTATGTACGGCGAGGCATTTTTTCCCAAAAAAGTCCAGTTTCGTCACAGTTAAATACCTGCTGAGAAATAAAGCCTCCCTCTTTAATCACATTTAAAAAAATGTCATGGTGTTCCCTAGCTGCTTCCTTATCTGCACTAGCAGCATCACAATGTCTCACAACACTGTGTAACTTGTTTCTTCTTCTGAAACCAGTAAACCACCCCTTGGTCCCCTTAAACACTAGCACAGCACTATCACTTCCACTGGGAGTCTTGCCTTTAAGGTCCTCAAGCAATTGTTTAGCCTTCTCACAAATTATAGCTCCACTAATGCTATCACCTGCCATTTCTTTCTCCTTTATCCACACTAAGAGTAAATTTTCCATCTCTTCGATCACATTACACCTTGCTTTGCTAAGTCTAGAGATTCCCTTAGCCACTTGCACAGTTTTTAACTCCTCTTTATTCTTGAAAATCGTACATATAGTCGATTTAGCCATCCCATATTCATCACTAAGTTTCGCAATGCTTGTTCCATTCTTACGTTTCTTCATGATTTCTTTCTTAGTTTCAAGGGTTATTAGCTTTCTCACTCGCTTTGGACGATTCATTGTTACAATTGTACACTTGTATAACAAAATAGTTATACAAATAACACGAATTTCCACATCAAAAGATGAAATTTCAACAAGTTCAGTGGTGCACTGACTACACAATGAAACAATGATGGTGCCTTACACTCTTGCTGTGAGCCGCGGTACATCAATATTCATGCGCCAAACGAAATAGTCCCGTATTCATCCGCGTTCGTTGTAGGAGTTGCGTTCGTTATAGCATACCCCACTGTGTATATATATATATATATATATATATATATATATATATATATATATATATATATATATATATATATATATATATATATATATATATATATATATATATATATATATATATATATATTACACCAACGAGATTTTTGTTTAAAAGACACACTTTTTATGACAAAAATATACTCAAAATTACCACATGCTTCCAGACACTAGCCGATGAGTTGTAGCAAAGGTTTTGAAATCAGCCCTTAAAGACTGTTACCTCATTACAGTACTTAACAACTACAAGTATTCTCTATACAGTACTATAAAACTATTGATTTAACTAATATTGTTGATATATTAAAAAAAAAAACTCCTGTACAGCGGTTTGTTGACTAATGGCAGCGGCAGCGCCATCTATTGAGGAATTGCTAAAGGTTGTCTGCTGGTCTCAAATGCAGGAATGTTTGTTTCTTTATATGTAGGCTCTCATATTTGGACACCTATTTACAGTAGGCTCTCATATTTGGATACCCATTTAGACTGTAAAACCCCACAAAATTAAAATCTTCCAAATTTAAATACAACTTCGTCATCCAGAAACATTAATTAAAACATATATGAACAGTAAATAAGTGTTGCTTTCATATTCTTATGTAGAGTAATGATGATATGTTTACACATGTGCTCACTTATCTACATGGATCTCACTTTATTTTTACCCTTAATTGTTAGCTACTTCCATTGTTCCATTTATTAACATTAAATAACATTACTTAAAACAACCATACTAATTTTACTACAGCTACAACCAGGGTCTTATTTTTTTCAGTTTTATATGTAGAACCAATCAGTCACTGGTTTGTAAATAACAAAACAATGGCGGTTTTATTCTCAGATATTAATGAATTGTATTGTTCAATTTGCACACATAAACAATAATTCAATCAAAAAGAAATTCAGAAACATTAATTAAAACATATATGAACAGTAAATAAGTGTTGCTTTCATATTCTTATGTAGAGTAATGATGATATGTTTACACATGTGCTCACTTACATACACGACCTCACTTTTTTTTACCCTTATATGTGCTGATAACCACAAGGAAAAAAGAAAAAACACATTATAGAATCTAGTCTCATTAAACACACCGAATCCATTAACATGAATTTGAGTTATGGTATGTACAAATTGGACAATTTTGTAATTAAGAAGATTTGTAACCAGGTGAGAAGGTTGGGTCAGTTTTTCCCTCTGACCTAACTACCGACCGCTGTGTGCTTTTGTGAAGATTAGTAGGGTCATTACCTATACTTGACCTCTGTGGACTTGATCTCACCCTCCTCTGTATATATATAACTTGTTCTGTACTTCTCCTTAGTTTGTACTCACCCCTGAAGATGTGAATTACACCAAAGCGCTTGGTAACTTCGTGTTTTTCCTTGTGTTATCAGTATATACCTGGATCACGTGACCTACAGTGATTTATTTTGTATATATATATATATATATATATATATATATATATATATATATATATATATATATATATATATATATATATATATATATATATATATATATATATATATATATATATATATATATATATATATATATATATATATATATATATATATATATATATATATATATATATATATATATATATATATATATATATATATATATATATATATATATATATATATATATTAGTGTTGTACATTGATTTTAATTTAACGCTGTCAATGGATGGCAGCAACTTTTTGATAACGCTGACACCATAAATTTTTTGGGTAGGTGACTTATAGGTGATGCAGTCAACTTTTCACCCGAGCAGAGCATCAAGCGTCAATTTGTTCGTCAACTTCTAAAATTTTTTTATTTTTCCAAGTTCGATTTTCAATTATCTTGTTATAAAGACAACCGACAAGGCCATGAGGGAAGATACATTTCTAATGAAACATGCTTCTGCTCATATAAGGAACAATAATCATCCAATAGATTGGGAAAACAGTTTAGAAGCATATAAATCATCATGTGTCACAGAAAGACTTCGAGTTGAAGCAAGAAATGTATTTTTTAAACCTTAGTGATGGTCAGTACAATACTGATAATATGTTACACAAATTTATTTGTCAGTGGCCCAAGTTTAAAAATGCTTTGAAACCATGAAAGGTAGATAGATGATTAGTGGGTCTCATATTTTTTACCTGACGTTACATGACTAGTTATGTTGCCCGTTCATATAATCTCTTCTTATGTTTGCTGTGTGGTTGGTGTGTGGATTAGTGGATGTCATGTTTTTGACCCACCCCATGATTTGTAAGGTCACCCTGTGTACATAAGCTCTCTCCTCAGTCTTTGTAATTCAGTTGCCTCACTGTGTTCCTCATGTCTCATATATATATATATATATATATATATATATATATATATTATGATAATATATATATATATATATATATATATATATATATATATATATATATATATATATATATATATATATATATATATATATATATATATATATATATATATATATATATATATATATATATATATATATATATATATATATATATATATATATATATATATATATATATATATATACTGTTTCATTATATTAAAAATCTAACAATAAAAGCAAATTTATTAAGAGTACCTTAATATTTTTAATTCACATACATAATCATTCCTTGAATTGCTTATGATACAGTTAAGCAGAAATAAACTTAATTTTTCTTAAGGCAACTTGGTAGTGGAAAATGAAGGATTTACCTTTGCTAAAAGTTCTTGAGTGTTGAGTTGTGTAAGAGGTGTCTCATGATCACTCTCCTCTGATGATGTTGATGAAACATCTAGTACAACATCTTTCTGAGGATCAACCTATGAAGAAAAAAAATGGTTAGTCTTTTAACATGCCATTTTGATAAACCTAAAATGCAGTACTTTTCAAATTTATAAAAGTTAACATGAATAAAATGCTGTATATTACAAGTATCACACATTTAGCATTAACTTGGTTTAGTGATAACAATATTTGACACCTTCTGATATAACATTGGGTCAAAATGCTTAAGCGATAGCTTGACTTAGCTACTAGGAGGGAAAAACTAGAGATGAGATAACCTGTGAGATGGCATGTTGCCTTTTCTATAAGTAATGAAACTACAAAGTTTTTGGAAAAAATCATTACAATAATACTGGACAGTACACAAACATGGCTATAAACAAAACAAAAAATGAAGAGCATGGGTGAGTTGTGTGTGAAGTGAACGTATTTGTGAAGGCAATGGGATGTAACAGAGTCCTGACTCCTCCCAATGTGATGTCATGGCATTCACACAACGCAGCACGGCAGCAGCCACATGTCTCGAAGTCAACTGGGTGACTGCCTGGCTGAACTGTGTCGCGTTGCCAAAAGAATGGTTTGAGTATGGAAGGAGCTACTTTTTGTACAGTACAGTCTGGTTTAGCGGTTAATTAAACCCATGGAGGTCCACGTATAAAGCGAAACGCGTAAATAAAATAACAGAACATATGGGATTAATTGAAATAAAGACTGGGCCGACCGCTAGACTACCCTCTCGGGGTGGGGTCCATGAAGTCTTGTGCAGAAAGAAAAAAAAGCAATGGTTCCTGAGCACGAGTGAATATACGCGGAGACAGTGAGACTTGACGCGGCGGTGGAGAGCAAGGGTGGCAGGGGGGGCAAGGATGCCGAGACCAATCACAGCTCACGGCAGAGAGGGTGCGTGGTAAGGATACGTGACCTTTCTACAGTCTGCAACGTCACCGCACGAGTCTGACATCAGCACCCTGCCCTGCTGCTTGCGCGATACATGATGGAATTTACCCTGTAAATAATAATTCTTCTGACAGGTGCGCCGTAAATGGCTTTCCACATAAAAAATATCCTCGTAAAACAAGACTATACTGCACATAAAATATGGTATTGTATTTCATAATATGCGATGTATCAATTTCATCGTTCATCATATACATTTTTTTTTCATTTTTGGCATACAGTATATCTCGGCCTACAAGGCGACGGGGTGTAAAAGACGGCCCCCAAAATTTCCATTTAAAAAGTAGCTTTTGAGCCCTATTCGCTGTATAAGACCGGTACCCCAAATGTGACACTTACCATTGGGAGCTTACTGACCCAGTAGTCCTTTACCAACCATCCCATTGACCAGTGCTGTTTACACATCCTTGGTTTTTTAAAATAAAGCCAATTCACTTCAAGTAATGGCATCAAACGTTACCGGTTGATGTAGTGTAAACACGTGACTCACTTAAAAGTTTGTTATTTAACTTGAACTAATGTCGGTGTCGAATACAATTGTTTCATTTACTTAAAATGGATTTACCGATTTATTTGTTTATTTATATCATACTGTAATATATTAAACACACTGGAAGTATTTTCTTTAATTTATAAGCTTGCTTCAGCGAGCTACAGTATTCTAATTCAATAGTGTTTCATTAGGATTTGAGTGAAAAAGATTACTGTACATACTTACTACATACATTTATTACACATATATATATATATATATATATATATATATATATATATATATATATATATATATATATATATATATATATATATATATATATTCACAATATTTTATAATTGCAGTCATGTACTGAATATTCTATGTAAAAAATATAAATTTTAAATGAATTATTTCTAGTGTGGTCGACTTCCTACACAAAGACGGGCTATAAATAGCCGTCTTATCTCCCCTCTGTTCTGAGAGAGAAGGTCTTGGTAAATAACTTTTGTTTGTTTATTTTCATTGTTTGTCAAATTTATCATGTTGTATCAAAGTAATATTACTAAAAGTTTTAGGCAGCTACCAAACAGGGAGATTCTACTGCCTGGGAAGATATTGGAAGCATAATGTATAGTATTGTCTAATGGTAGACCCTACTTCCATATGGCATCACGAAAATTGTGACCAAGTCTTAGGTTGCTGATTTATCTTACTGCCTCATTTACACACAATTGCTGAGTTTCAATTGTTTCTCTTCCTTTGACAACACAACATACATACAATATAATGTTTCACCTTTGATCTTTTTTCCATTTATTTATGGTTGGTTATTTAAAATAATGCCAATTCACTTCAAGTATTGGCATCAAATTTTACCTGCTGTTGTACACTAGTGACTCACTTAAGCGTCAGTTATTTAACTGGAACTAATGTTGGTGTGAGTAAAATATTTCCATTTACTTGAAATAGATTTGCCGATTTATTTGTTTATTTATTTAGCTATAATATATTGTAATACATTAAACACACTGCAAGTATTTTCTTTAATTATATACTTGTTTCGCGAAAAAGGGAGGCTACCATTATACCTGGTAGGTGAAGTTGACCAGACATTTATGATCATTAAGGACCAAACTCCGAATCCATGACGTGACTTCTGTTAATCATTCTCATCCTAAATTTACCACTGTCGGTAGTTTCAAGAATTAACGCAGTCATTTACTGAATATTCTTTGTAAAAAAATTAATTTTAAATTAATTATTTATAGGAGATAAGTATTATGATCAGTAAATATACAGATATGCATTACTGACCACCTCCGAACACAAGGACGGCTAAAAATAGCCACAGGCGGTCACTGTCAAGGTCGCTTTCCCTTTCTCGTTACTGGCAAATAGGGGGGGGGGGGTGATGATGATAGCAGCTGTGTTTATTACCGGGGTATATTGTTCTTTTACGGTATGTTAGACTGGTTTATAATACATTTTTATTATTTTAATATACCAGTAATCTTCATTTTAATCCAGCTTCCCAAATGTAAGTTTCAGTATAAAATAATTAGTGGTAGGACCTTGTGAGTGGTTTACCATGTTTCCATCACCACTCTTGACACGCTAAACCGCAAAATTTAAGAGGTAAGAATTTTATCTCTGGTGCTTAAGACGACCCCCTAACTTTGGGCTGATTTTCTTTTTGTTCAAATTCCGTCTTGTAGGCCGAGATATACGGTATGCAATTTGCTCACTAAATTGTTTAACTCTGAACTACATCATCTATATAGAAGCTTGGTGTTATTAAATCAATTATTTAACTTTGAAAACGTTTAGAACTCATTTATTATTATTGTTAGGGAGTACAGTACTGCATTTACCGTCCTGCCGTTTGAGCCTGTTTGCCCTCCATGCTTTGCTGTTATCCTTCGTTTAGCGATAATTCACTTAATGTTACGTTTTTCAAGAACATAACCCACATCATTAAACGAGGGATACCTGCACAGAAATTTACAGCATAACATACTGGATAGAATAAAGTACATAACTACGTACACTTGATGACTAACTTACAGTGCTCCTCTGGGTGACTATTACTGTTTACAGTAATGTCTAAATTTATTTCCAAACTTCACAATTTCAAGATACCGATGTAAATTCTTACACAACAAAACAGGGAAATTTACAAACCTTAACAAAATTTCTACATTGGTATGTAAGATGACCAGGATATCCACATTTCTTACATGCTGCTCTCACATCACCCCCACCTGTTGGCCCAATGCGTGCCAGTAGTCTATCCTCCATGGCTTATAGATCTGTAATACATAAACAACAAGTCTTCAATATTTCAATACATTCTCATACTTTCATCCTTTTACCTCTGTCATATGCAGCATATTGTTTCCCTTAATCTAAGTTAAATTAATAGACTACAGTACCCTGTACCTTGATTTTCTTAATATAAGATTACTGTTCACCAAGTACCCAATACTACAATACAAAAGAAAGGCTAGTGCAGCTACAGAAAAACTCATTTAAATCAGGCATGGGCAACCTGCGGTCCGAACCATGTCTTTGCGCAGCCCGTGTAGTGATTGAGAAATTCTATTTTATGTGGCCTGCAGTTCAGGTAGATGCAGCCAGTTTATGGTGAGTAAAGCGATATTTACTAAAAGAATACTGTAATCTTCACACACAAATCATTACTGATTCATCTCCTAAGCATAATTAACTATGAAAACGTAACAGTGAAATAAGTATAAATAGTCAACAATATACTGTACACATTTCAACCTGGGTACGTTTACGGACAAGTTCGGCACAGTCTGTGTGACGGATTAGCTGCTATGTGGCAGTGGGTCACTTGGGAATTAACTAAAGTTGGGTAAATCCAAGTGGGGTTCTATGCGGTGGTCACACGGGTCAAAGGTAAAGGTCTCTTCCTTGTTGACAGACTGTCTCTCTTCTTGGTACTTCATCCTTCATACCTTTTATGCCTGGCTGTCTGTTCTCTCTATTTATTCTTGTCTGATTAGGTCCACACACACACACACACACACACACACACACACACACACACACAACAACGTCAGCTAGAGAAGGTACAGAAAAGGGCCTGCAGAATCATGATCGGCGCTGACTACTCCGGCTACACCAACGCTCTCTCCATCCTGGAAATGCCATCCCTCAGTGACCTCCACCACCAAGCACTGGAAAGGTTTGGCAGCCAACTATTGCACCACCCTCATCATCGCCGCCTCCCACCCACCTCGCGCAGTCCGCCACTACAACAAAATACAGCCCATAAGAGCCCGCACCTTTAGATATACGAATAGCACCATCCCATCCATTGTTAAAATAATAAACAATGCCTGATTTATGTACTGTACAGCCCTGTAAATGTATTCAATGCATATTTCTAAATCAAATGTAAGTGTATATTTTCAGCCAATGGCTGCAACTCTATTAATAAACCGTTTATTATTATTATCATCATCACACCCCCCCCATCAGTCCTTATAGCACGCGGACTTCCATGTACAAACAATACCTCACTAGTCGGGTATCGAACCTTGGACCTCTGCGTGTGAACAAGAATCGCTACCACTGCGCCACAAGGACAACAAAAACAATCCTAGGCTTTGTTATATTCCACGCAATGGCCTGTTCATCATTCTTATTAAGCGCCATGAACTTCCATTGGGGATTGCCCGTGCCAACTATGTGGTCGGAGCAGCATTTTGCAGAATCCAGCTAGGAAACACGAGGCTAAATATATATTTCATCAGTCCATATAGCACGCGGACTTCCATATACATAGATGTGCCTATAGGTTGTTTCATTGTAGTTCCTCAGGCGTCAAAGTTAACAAACGTATTCACAGACTGCTTCACGCATCTTCTGCTAAAAGCCAAGAAACATTAACATACTACTTAAAAAATTATTATGTTGAATTTGTTTCATAAATGGGAAAAGAGTGTTACCTGCATTGTTAACTGAAAATATCGTAAGGTAGACGTCACGGTAAACTACGCTGTATTTCAATGTCCGTGCTAATACAATATTAACATTACTTTTTGGTTAGGTAGGATAAAAATTTTGGTGAGTAGGCTTGCAGAAAAATACCTAAATCATAATGCAGCCCATGACTGAGGAAAGGTTGCCCATGTCTGATTTTTTTTTTCATTTTTCTCGACGTTTGATCATAAATCACCTGTGGTGAGTGGACAGGGCATGAAAGAAGGGGGAAATTATCGGGTAAAAACATGACAAACAGTGATCATATGACAGTAATTTCATGTCTCTACATGCTTTGTATGCGAAGAAATTGTTTATTTACCGTAAATATTCCGCCGTTCTTTCTCCAGCGGCATCTATTGTTCTCATTTGCTCAAGGTATAAATTTGTGAACCCAGATTTGTCAACAAATACAGTAAAATAAATGCTAGAGGACCTTATCAGGGGTTTTAATACTGTATATATATTGGCTTGATTGTCTTTTGTTTTAATTTAATAGGATTCACTTTCCTGTTTCCTAATCTTATTGTTCTCCCTCAAGGGGACACTTAGTTTCTTATGCAATTATGGCATCATTTTCCATAAGTTATCTCAAGTTACATATCTGTGTTTGTTGAGGATCAAGAGTGTCGTTAAGGACTTAACACTAAGTGATCATAGACTTAATGGAAGGATGTGCAAGTGTCCAAAATGCAGCATGGAACAGACATTAAAGGAAAAAGGTAAAATTTTAGTTTTGGTCATCCCTGTACGTATTTAGATATCCAAAGTAACCTAACCTAACCTTATTTAACCTAAGTGATTCCCCGGATGAAGAAAACTAAAATAATTCCCGGCAAAATACTTGTTTAAGTGTAACAGTTGGATGCCATCAATGCACTCGACCCACCTTAATATTAAGGTATGTGTCTTTTGCTGTTATAGGGGTCCGGAGATGCATAGCCCCCAGTTAGCAACTTAATATGGCTAAACATTTTTACATAGTAGGAGTCTTGGGGCAGACCCCCCACCCCACTTAGAAAGTTAGGTAAGGTTAGGTTAGGTTAGCTGAGGTCAGGTTAGATTAGAGTGTGCATTATTGTTCCCATTTTCTTATAGTACTTCATCATGCAAATAACATCTACAGAAATTTTGGAGGAATTCCATAAGTTTCTTCTGGTGATCACTGTCTCCTCCACCTTTACCATTTTCTCTAAGTGACAATCAAAAAAAGGTACATAAACATAGCTAGCGGCCAAAGTTCAAGAGCTGCTGCTCCTCCTATCATGAAAAGGATACACCCCATTTAGTCACCAACCCAGCTTGTCGCCAAAAAACCAATTTCGTCACCAACACCAAATCTGTATCGTCACCACTAACAGACTGTTAGTCGCTGGTATTAGAGTGATAAATTGTAAGTTATTATTTTACATGAATAGAAATTACACATGTATACAGACAATTCGAGAATTATTGTGTTATCATTATACATGAATATTAATTACTTAATAAAGAAAATTATTAAAACATTGGTAAATAAACAAAATACAGAACAAATGAAGGTGATTTTTTCTTCTTCACCACCTTGGTTGATTTGCAATTACAACTAGTTGCTGAGCACAAGCTAAATCATGCACAAGAATAGCAAATCATGACAAACAAGTCCACGTCTGGAAGCTGTGGGATGAATATGAAGAAAAAAATATCACCACTTCTAATTTCCTAAAAAAATCAGTCTTCTTCCAAGCTTACATATGTAATAACAATGTTTCAATTATTTTTTAATTTTAGTCTTTCACATATTGTTTAAGTGAGATGATTGCAGGCGTACGCATTAACAATGTTTTTATTTTTGTTTCATTTTAGTCTTTAAAATCTTTTTAAAGTGAGATGCTTGAAAGAGAAATAATGTTTTATTTTTTTATTTTCGTCTTTAATAAATTGTCTTAGTGAGATGCTTGCATGATCCAATGTATTGTTATGCCAAGGCATAATTTTGAAATACAATTTTGTAATCTCGGTGTTTTGATTATTTTCTATCTCAAGCAACAGTTATTTTGGCAAATTTTTGTGTATACTGTATATTGATGTATTAATTATGTAAGAATTTTCTGGAATGTATTCCCCTTTAAATGGTGATGGGAATGAACACGGTGACTAAATGGGTAAAAATAGTGGTGACGAAATGGGTAAAAACAGTGGTGACGAAATGGGTAAAAAATGTGGTGATGAAGCGGGTTGGAGACAAAATGAATTAAGAAAGCTTTTCTATTTAATGGAAATATTTCCTAAAGTTCCTGGTTAGTGTGGAGTACTGTCATCAAGTACTGAAGATCTAGGTAGCTACTGTACACTCAGGAGCAGGGTCATAATAACCTGGTTGACAGTTTTGTAAAAGATTCTGTTTAACCAGTTGCCCACCACATTTCCACCATATCCATCACATGTCCACAAGATATGGACCAGATGAATAAGGGAGACACCCGTCGGATATGTATAGTAGGTGATCATGGTGGTCGTCTGGAGTACATTTACTATACTGTAACTGACTAGAATCATTTACAATATAGAAAAATGTCCATCACATTAGTTTGACCGTAAGTGCCTGCCAAGCGATCCGACTAATTACCCAAATGTAGCCGCAATGAAGTCAAATAATGGTCCTACATGAATAAATCGGACTGCCAATCACTTCTCGACTAGTATTTGGTGTCACGAAGTCACAAAAAATTGGTAAACTTAATTTAATCTGAGTTAATAGATCGAGTGTATGTACCTAACCTAACACAACTGAGATTAAATTAAGTTTACCAATTTTTTGTGACTTTATGACACCAATTAACAATCGAGGTGATTCACAGCCCGATTTACGCTTGTAAGGCCATCATTTGACTTCATTGTGGCTACATTTGGCTACAATTGGGTACATTAGGGTAATTACTCGCTCCCTCGGTACAAGCATGCGATCTATTAACTCAGTTTAAATTAAGTTTTCCAATTTTTTGTAACTTCGTGACACCAAATACTAGTCGAGAAGTGATTGGCAGTCCGATTTATTCATGTAGGACCATCATTTGACTTCATTGCGGCTACATTTGGGTAATTAGTCGGACCCCCTGCCAAGTCATATAAGTGACCTAAATAGACAAACTAGATCTATATACTTGACAGTGAGCTGCACCAGCAGTACATCACCTTCTGACACTGCCCTTACTGACAGTTCAGTGCCCTTACCTGGGAATAAGCATCTCATGGCCATGTCAGCAATCCTTAGTAGGGATGCTTTGCTGTTTACTATTGTTGTATACCTCCACTGTCTAGCGGTCCGACTAATTACCCAAATGTAGCCGGAATGAAGTCAAATAATGGTCCTACATGAATAAATCGGACTGCCAATCACTTCTCGACTAGTATTTGGTGTCACAAAGTCACAAAAAATTGGAAAACTTACTTTAATCTGAGTTAATAGATCGCGTGCATGTACCGACGGAGCGAGGAATTACCCAAATGTAGCCGCAATGAATTCAAATGATGGTCGTACAAGCGTAATTCGGGCTGTGAATCACTTCTTGATTATTATTTGGTGTCATAAAGTAAAAAAAAATTGGTAAACGTAATTTAATCTGAGTTGGGTTGGGTTAGGTTAGGTTAGGTTAGGTACATGCACTTGCTCTATTAACTCAGTTTAAATTAAGTTTTCCAATTTTTTGTAACTTCGTGACACCAAATACTAGTCGAGAAGTGATTGGCAGTCCGATTTATTCATCTAGGACCATTATTTGACTTCATTCCGGCTATATTTGGCTACATTTGGGTACATTTGGGTAATTAGTCGGACCCGTCTAGGATACATTGGAAACTGTATACACTACCTTAGTCTATACACACAACTGTATACCTGCATTGTCTTAGCTAAACTGCATACTTTACATACATGCCAAACCAACTGTAAACTTGTATGACGACCTTAATGATATTATTATTATTACTACAACTTACAGAAGCTTTTTGGATCCTTTTCGTCCAATACCAGAGACG